CCTTCAGGAAGAGAGATGAGGTGAGTACCTGCAGTTGTATATAGACACAGCATGAGATAACAAAAAACAAAGGTTTGAAAAATAAAGACAGAAAAGAGATTCCAAGACGTACAAAAATAAAAGGCTGTAATTTATTGTATGAAGAAAATAAAATTGGGTACATGGATCAATACAATCAACAGGCATAAGTGTGATATTAAACATGATAGATTTGAATCTACAATGAAAACATGCCTATATAAAACAATTCTTGACATACAAATCAGATTCTTGGAAAGACATCTGCATCTGAGAATGTGCAACACAAACAATATGTACACGTAGTACATTATAACACATGTCTACAAACATAAATCAACTTACATCTATTCAATTGCATTAAGTACACTATATAAATTATTCTTTAATTTGATATATATTTTATCATACTGTTTATTGATGGTTTATATGATCATTTTGAACAGTAAACTTAGTAAAGTGTGTCCACTTTCTCTCTTTCGCTGAATTTCAAAACATACTCCTCATTTGCTGTATTCTTAAGTTAATATAAATCATCACTTGATCTTAAATGCAATTTTTAATGGTACAATTTAATGTGAAAATATATTTAGAAATGGCTGCAAAGCATGGCCAAATAAAACAATACTGATTGAACTAAATTGAAATGTAACCAAAAAAAAATTATGAAATAAGATTTATTACTTTTCATCCCTTATGAGATTTAAGTGTAACCTTGTAAGAAAGAACACTGATACACCAATATCCCAATAAGAAGCTTGACACTCCTACTACTCTGTGTGATCTTTACTGTATATTTTTTCGTTTTTCTTCATGTTTCATTTAATACTTTTAATCCCTGATAAAATATGAGTTTCAAAATAATTACAAGGCACTTTTTTTAATCACAACGAATTTGTTAAAATAACGAGGTTCCACTTTATTCAACTGGTTGGACATATGAACTCCAGTCATGAAAAGAAATACTACTTACATGAATTTGATTGAAAAATATAAATATGAGCATTTCCTAGAAATCCATAGACATCATGATATTCACACAAGAATTTTCAGGATCTTGCAATGCTGGACAACAGTCAACGGCTCACATACAATGAATGAACGATTCCAACGTGATTTGATTTTCCAATAAATCACATTAACATCATATATGGAAATTTAAACAAAAATAGTTTTCTTGATCTAGGTCCTGAATAATGTTATGAATGCAACAGAAATGATACTTTGTGCACTGTAAATCTTCTAGATAGAGTAAATACAAAATCAGCTTCAAATTGTAGAGTTTGGCATGACTGTTTGGACATCACTTGGTTTCAAAGCTGATTTGACTTTCCTCCGACAAGGATTGAAATTTGATTTGATTTATTTATGTCACCATGGTCTCTTTCCAAAATTACAAACTAATTAAAACATAATCATGGTATTACAAAAATCATATAATTAATACATCTGTCAAAGTCAAATACTTAAATTGTAATATTAACATAACATAATCAGGAAGAAGGATTGGCACATAAGTTCAGGTTGAAGGCGTGGCAATCCTGTATGAAACTTAATAATTCCTATATACACAAATGATGTTGGGGATGGTATGGATGAGATGTCCGAGAAGATTACAAGAGGAGATGGTCAATAGAGTAATAAAGGTGATATACATATACAACAATTCAGAGCCTCGATCAAAACAATTTTACATAATTATATATTCATATCGAATGCTAATGCAACTTTTTCCAAAAAAAGGATGGTGGTAGTGAAATCCTATAGTGTGCCGTGGGCTTAAAATAAAATAGCATGAGTTACAGATACATGTAATAATAATTAAAAAATACTTTTAATACAAAAGATAATACTTTGGTTCTTTCATAACAAATGAAGGAGAAAAAAAAATTATGTAGAAGTGTACAGTAGTGAAACAGAGATCAATTAGGGATAGGAGTCCTCCCAAGTTGAGTTGAATGAGAGCAAAGAAATAAAAAATATGAGAAAATCATTAGAACTTGATAAAAGATACAAAAGAAAAATATCAATATCAATATTAAATTCAATCTAGAAATAATTTTCCACAGTGAACACAAAATAATAAATACTATCCTTTAAAATGGTTGCTTGGGGAATAGACATCTTATATGAGAAAAGAAATATCCCGAAACCCGACAAATACAGAATAAAGCGCTTCTTTAATGTATAGGAGGCAAGTTTGAGAAAGTTTTTGAGAAAATCCATTATTGCAATGAGAAGTTGTTATGGCCTTTATCCCTGCTTTCTCCTTTAAGTTCTTAAAAGGCTATGAAATCAGATTTTCTATAGATGAAAAAAAACCTTTATAATAGTAAAAGTCACATTTGTATAGTACTTAATATTATGTTTTAAGTACTTTACATTTTCATCATTGATACCCTGGTCATTAGAATAAATTGCTGATTCCAACATGCTCCACTCCCTGGGCAGTATTCTTGCCAGGTACCATTTTACAAGTGCACACATGCCACTTCAACCACAGCAACATTTGAATGCTACGGGGTACCCATTTTTAACATCTGGGTAGAGAGTGGCAAATTGTACATAAACATCTTGCCAAAGGACATTAGTGCTGCGGTAGGACTTGAACCGCCAACCAGGTGATTCAGCCCGGTGAAATAATCACTAGACCATGGCACCTCTACAGACCACTACACATCTTCAGACTATTATTACAATGGAAACATTACTGAGGCTTTTCCCCTGCATGTGTTCTTCATGGCTAATAAGCCACCCTCTGAGATAAAATCTTGTTATACAATGTGTGTGTGTGTGTGTGTGTTCTTTGATGGATAGTCAGATATTTATCTAAGGTTACATCACTTTGTGGAGAAAATTCCTCATCACATTTGGATCAGTGAAATGGTTTCTGTCTGACGTGGATTCTAAGATCCTTTGTTAGATAAGAAAATCCTTCCTTTTAAAATTCTCTTATCACAATACACCATACAATTCAGAGAGCTGAACATTTCAGTGTCATACACTATGAATATGACGGACAAAGAAAGCGGACAAAATATACAGTTCATCAGGTAGACAAAGGAACATCCCTTCACTGCTATTATGTAAAAATGTGTAGAACAGGTGTCAAATGCATATTCACCTATTCTACACATTTTTACATAATAGCAGTGAAGGGATGTTCCTTTGTCTACCTGAGGAATTGTATATTTTGTCCACTTTCTTTGTCCCTCATTTTCATAGTGTCAGCCGCCATTACCAGTGTCCATTGAGTATGCTAAATATTATTACTGCTTTAGTTCAGAGAATGCCATGCACCTGACGGAGTTCTTGTGAAGCTTATGAGCACCCCCCCCCCCAGGTATGCTTGACAAAGCACTTTAGAGCTCCCAGAAACCATGGCAACCAAATTGCTTTATATAAAGGCTTTTCTCAAGCAAATCTCTTCAGATGCTTTACCAGTTTAGTTTCTTGAGAAAACCCTTTATCAAAAATAGGAATGGTGAAGTTTCATTTATTCAGTGTGCACTCTAATATAATGGATGTTCATTTTTCTTGTATTATTCAGAAAATCCCTTATGACATGAGAAAGACATGTTCATGTATTTTGTGTGTTCTTAGATGCCTTGCGAGCTCACTTTCATAAGAAAAATAGTTATTAGATTAGGAACACTACAAGGGTTTCTCTCCTTTATGTGTTCTAACCTGGCTGGTAACATCCCCTTTATAAGAAAAATTGTCTTATTACAATCAGAACATATTTAGGTTTTTTTTCTAGTATATGAATGTGTCCTAATAAGAAGATTGAGATCACCTTGTTGAGTAAAACTCTTATCACAATGGGAACATCGATAGTGCTTTTCTCCACTGTGTGTTCTAAGGTGACAAGATCATTCTTTTGAGAAAACCCCTTATCACACTGGGGACACTGGGTTTCTCTCCTGTATGTCTTCTTAGGTGGCTAGTAAGTCCAGTCTTTGAAACATCCTTTATCAAAATAGGAACATCCTTAAGGCTTTTCTGCTGTATGTGTCCTTACATGACAGGTAAGATTACCTTAGCAAGTATAAATCCCTTATCACAATGGGAACATATATAAGGCTTACTCAACTGTGTGTTCTTAAATGTCTAATTAGGGCACTTTTATGGGAAAATCCCTTATCACACTGGGAACACTAAAAGGGTTTCTCTCAACTGTGTGTTCTTGAATGTGTAATAAGGTAACATCTTCAAGAAAAACCCTTATCACACTGGGAACACTTGAAAACTTTTTCTCCTGTATGTGTTCTAAGGTGCCTAGTAAGATCATTATTTTGAGAAAATGTCAAATGACAATGGGAGCATTGATAAGGCTTTTCTTTGTGTATTCTGAAATGGCTTAAAAAGTTACTTCTTTGAGAAAAACCCTTATGACAATGGGAACACTTAAAAGGTTTCTCTCCTGTATGTCTTCTATGGTGGCTAGTAAGCTGTGACTTTTGAGAAAACCCCTTATCACAATGGGAACACTTAAAAGGTTTCTCTACACTGTGTGTTCTTGAATGTGTAATAAGGTTACTTTTTTGAGAAAAACCCTTATCACACTGGGAACACTTGAAAGGTTTCTCTCCTGTATGTCTTCTAAGGTGGCTAGTAAGCTGGGACTTCTGAGAAAATCCCTTATCACACTTAGAGCACTTAAAAGGTTGCTCTCCACTGTGTGTTTTTGAATTTGTAATAAGGTTACTTTTTTTTTTAGAAAAACCCTTATCACACTGGGAACACTTAAAAGGATTCTCTCCTGTATGTCTTGTAAGGTGGCTAGTAAGCTGGGACTTTTGAGAAAAACCCTTATCACACTGGGAACACTTAAAAGGTTTCTCTCCACTGTGTGTTCTTGAATGTGTAATAAGGTTATTTCTTTGAGAAAAACCCTTATCACACTGGGAACACTTAAAAGGTTTCTCTCCTGTATGTCTTCTATGCTGGCTAGTAAGCTGGGACTTTTGAGAAAACCTCTTATCACAATGGGAACACTTAAAAGGTTGCTCTCCACTGTGTGTTCTTGAATGTGTAATAAGGTTATTTCTTTGAGAAAAACCCTTATCACACTAGGAACACTTAAAAGGTTTCTCTCCTGTATGTCTTCTAAGGTGGATAGTAAGCTTGGACTTTTGAGAAAACCCCTTATCACAATGGGAACACTTAAAAGGTTTCTCTCCTGTATGTCTTCTAAGGTGGATAGTAAGCTGGGACTTTTTAGAAAACCTCTTATCACAATGGGAACACTTAAAAGGTTGCTCTCCACTGTGTGTTCTTGAATGTGTAATAAGGTTATTTCTTTGAGAAAAACCCTTATCACACTGGGAACACTTAAAAGGTTTCTCTCCTGTATGTTTTTAGAAAACCCCTTATCACAATGGGAACACTTAAAAGGTTGCTCTCCACTGTGTGTTCTTGAATGTGTAATATGGTTATTTCTTTGAGAAAAACCCTTATCACACTGGGAACACTTAAAAGGTTTCTCTCCTGTATGTCTTCTATGCTGGCTAGTAAGCTGGGACTTTTGAGAAAACCTCTTATCACAATGGGAACACTTAAAAGGTTGCTCTCCACTGTGTGTTCTTGAATGTGTAATAAGGTTATTTCTTTGAGAAAAACCCTTATCACACTGGGAACACTTAAAAGGTTTCTCTCCTGTATGTCTTCTAAGGTGGATAGTAAGCTTGGACTTTTGAGAAAACCCCTTATCACAATGGGAACACTTAAAATGTTTCTCTCCTGTATGTCTTCTAAGGTGGCTAGTAAGCTTGGACTTTTGAGAAAAACCCTTATCACACTGGGAACACTTAAAAGGTTTCTCTCCACTGTGTGTTCTTGAATGTGTAATAAGGTTACTTTTTTTTTAGAAAAACCCTTATCACACTGGGAACACTTAAAAGGATTCTCTCCTGTATGTCTTGTAAGGTGGCTAGTAAGCTGGGACTTTTGAGAAAACCCCTTATCACAATGGGAACACTTAAAAGGTTTCTCTCCACTGTGTGTTCTTGAATGTGTAATAAGGTTCCTTTTTTGAGAAAAACCCTTGTCACACGGGGAACACTTGAAGGGTTTCTCTCCTGTATGTCTTCTAAGGTGGCTAGTAAGCTGGGACTTTTGAGAAAACCCCTTATCATAATGGGAACACTTAAAAGGTTTCACTCCTTTATGTCTTGTAAGGTGGCTAGTAACCTGGGACTTTTGAGAAAATCCCTTATCACACTGGGAACACTTAAAAGATTGCTCTCCACTGTGTGTTTTTGAATGTCTAATAAGGTTACTTCTTTGAGAAAAACCCTTATCACACTGGGAACACTTAAAATATTTCTCTCCACTGTGTGTTCTTGAATGTGTAATAAGGTTACTTTTTTGAGAAAAACCCTTATCACACTGGGAACACTTGAAAGGTTTCTCTCCTGTATGTCTTCTAAGGTGGCTAGTAAGCTGGGACTTGTGAGATAACCCATTATCACAATGGAAACACTTAAAAGGTTTCTCTCCACTATGTGTTCTTGAATGTATAATAAGGTCCGTGCTTGTAAATATTGTGCGTTGGGTACCTTGGGAGATGCAACTGTTTGAAACGAATTATTTTTATGGCTAAGCTCAGCAAGGAAAATAAAATTAACACATTAAACTGCAAAAGAACATGGCATATGTTGTCAAAGACTCACCAATAAGATGTATATTAGAATGACTAACATGTATATCACAACTGATTTGCATAAATTTGTGTTCGTGATGTGTCTGTGTGTGTGCATGTGACAAAAATAAACAGACTGGACTATGTGTGATATTATTTTACAAAATGTTTGCCACCAAGCAACAGAACACGAGTATGTGGAAAAGGGGTTTAACTGTTTCTTTCATATTGATATGTGAGCAGCATTTCTCATAAGGAAATGGTGATCTTTCACTTTTTTCTTGCATGGCAATTTTATTTTCTTAAAGGCAACCTTCATAGATTGTCATATATGCCTAATGTCTTTAACTTTATATAGCATTATTCATTATCCCTCATTGTTGGGTTATAAATTACAGGTACCTCCACACAGCAAATTCTAGAGAAGGATGCTAGATTGGCCATGCTTCTCGGAATGAAAAACATAATTGATCCAGGTAACAGAGACAAATTTGAGAATTATTTTGGTATTTAAAACACAATAAAAGGTCTAATTTCCAAAAAGTTGTACTCTTTTCTTAAGTGATTAATTTCTTTAAACTTAAGCATGTAGCTATAATTACTGAGAAATTACAATTAAGATACAAAATAATGTCCTTTATACAAAATAATTGCGTTCTGTAACTTGTAAGGTGCACATAATTGTCTACTGTGTGCTAAGCAAACTTGTCAATAACATACTTTTGCTGATCTTCTTTATTATTGCACATGCACTGCAAGAATAAAAGAAGTGCACAAAATTATTAATTATGTGGAAAAATCTTACATTTGAACTTTGGGGATGGATAAATACATGTATCATCAAAAAGGTTTGTGTTGCCCACAAATGTTTTCCCCACCAAAAACAAACAAAAAGTCTTAATTTTCTGTGATTTTAATGATTTGTAAGTTGAAATTTCAAGGTCGAGGTTGTATAGTGGTGATTTATATATTTTTTTGTCTCCTTAATTTATGTATGTCTGTTGTACAATGCAGAGATGGAAGATGACAGGGATAAACCCTCATTGCCCCCTTCCACCCAAGCCGACCCACACAAGTACAGGGAAAACCCTGGGAAGATCCCAGATGCTAACATCTGTAAGTGGATATAACTGGCTAAGAAGTTACTTGAAAAATTTTGCAGCATTTGAAGTATCCTGCACTATATTCTCTCTCTCTTTCCCAATTAAACACTAATTCTTAAATAAGTGCAATACCATGTACTTTCATGATGTTTTGTTTAAATGACAGATGATGTACTTGATCAAGAAGACGGTGCCATGATGAAAGAGTCGGCCCCACCCTTGACCACTGAGATGAAGAACTCCCGTCCACTGGTCAGTAAGTCTACTGGTCAGTCACAAACGGTCCTCCGTGTATGCCACCCGCCACAGTTAACACATCAGCCTGCCAGTGCCAATGCATCACGTACCTCCAATCTAAGTAAGTGAATATGATCAATTTATAGATCTATTCCAGTATACTGACTATATATATCTCTTCAACGACTCCAACGGGTACGTTGATAAGGCAAGTACTTTGCTGTGTATACCTAGCATAGCAATGTGCTTATCACAGATATACATCGTTAGGCTTGGCGCGCGAGATGTGATATCGTAGCATTCGTTCGACTGCATGCATTGCGCAATACACAAGTGCGATGTTGCAATTACCGTTGCGTATGGAACGCTGCCATGGACAACAATTCGCTTACTGTTGACACTTGCAATCGGCACACGTCAGTGTGGAGAAGACATGTGCATCAACAGTAGGTGAACGTTCTAGCGCGACGTTCCATAGTCACCTACGTACGCTACGCTCGTACGTGGGCTATGCGATACACCCATGCGTGACGTTGAAAAGTTGTCCACAGTGTTGTGTATTGCACATTGGCGATTTTTTGCCCGTAAACTTAATGCGTCGCACAAGCATGGCTAAACTATCTTGCAAGCTGTCTTACCGGATTTTTTTTTTTTCCTTACAACTATGTCGAAGATTTGGGGTGCGCCCTATACACGGGTGCGCCGTATACACAGCATTTTACAGTAAGTCCGAAGAGCTTTATGACCCCCCCCCCCCCCAATCCTTCTGATAGATTTTGTACTGCACCAGGACCAAATTTCTCAGGTATGAAGTCAATGACATAGAATTTCAAAAGAAAATTTCCCCCTAAAACTGATGTTTTGTTGGTCATAAATTATTTTTTACTTAAACATTCTTTGCCGTGCCTTGTGACCTATTTGAAATAATGCCAGTAATTTGATCCTCTTCACATAGTTCAAAAATAAAGTTTTGATGTGACCAAGTGCCATTACTTAGAGATGACCTTTTAGGGGTGTGGCATACATGTATGAAAGCACATGACCAACAAAAGTCTAGAGTCATTTGAAAGCTAATTATTTTATCAAATTAACACAGAGATCCTAATCCAGAGTATAATTGGCGTTAATCAATTTTCCCCCCAATACACATATGCCTGCAGTGGTCGAGGATCAGATCACCACGTTCTTGGAGATGGAGAGCCATTGTGAGCAAATAAGCTCCCTTCAGATGGAAGTCCAGAGGCTGAGGGAGGATCTGCGACAAGAAAAGGCAGACAAAGCAGCTCTCAAGGACGAAGTAATTCGGCTAAAACTCTACATCGTCGATCACTGTCTTAAAGAAAAACGAGGACAATGTAAGAGGATTACAGTGATAAGTCTTATCAAAAGTACATAATATGTATTACTGTTTCATTTTTTATTTTATTAAGTTTCTTTTTGGCCTGGAAAATTTGCTGTTGTGTTGTTTTTGTTTTCTTTAACTTTAAGACCTGAATTTTAACATTTGTATTTAAAAGTGGAATTTTATGTATTTGCCAAAAGCTGGACGATGTTGACAAATTTGATTGTACTTCTCAGTTGAAATCAATCCCATTTGATTTTAGTGACAATGTGTTCTTGAAACATTGAATGCCTAATGCTGACAAGTTGCTAAGCACCAATGTTTACCCAAACATTGTTTTTTTTTCATTGTCTCTGTAGCCCATCGCACCAATGACACACCCTTCCTGGAGGTAGGCAGCTTTGGTTAGTAAAGATTTTAGGCTTTCATACAACTTGTCAAGTAATCACACAGAAAACAATATAAATGCTTCGGCTTGAATATTCCACAAAGGGGTGCTGTCATGCATGAATTGCACACAACATATTATACTTGCATACTTAAAATGTAATTAACTTATTCTCATGATGAAATTTGACAAATGAAACACCATGTACAGTTCCAAATTTTTTTCATGACAAACAATGTTTAAACTTAATGATAGAAATCAAGACAGTTGTTTTAATGATGGATATCCTTGGATCTGTCAAGATTCTTCACCACATACACTTTCTTAATTGTGAGGTTTTTAATTAAAATTACAGAGATTGCTGATACTGCTGCAACGGACAAACCTGATCAGACCTTTGCATCTTCCACACCTGTACCACCAGCAAACTTTTTTTTGCGCAAAATGAGCAAAAATTGGCACCCCGTGAAAATTTGCACTGTTTCAGTAACTGATATTTCCAACAAAATGTTGAGTAACAGCACATCATATTAAACAGATTTATTTTCAGTTCCTTCATTAAATTTTAATCCCTGAACAGGTAGAATACTTTCATTACTGCGTACACATAATGTGTGTTGGTTGTATATTTCAGAGACAGAAGAGGACACATCCAAGGACTTGCCAGCTTTGCCTCAGCCCCCACCTTCTTTCCCGACTCGAGCCACCCCTCAAACTTCCAAGACAAAGGCCAGTCCTACGAGCAATCAAGAAGCTGTTCCTCAGACCCCACCTTATGCACCGACTCTAGCCACCCCTCAAACTTCCAAGACAATTAAGGCCAGTCCTTCGAGCAGTCAGGAAGCTGTTCCTGAGACCCCACCTTCTGCTCCGACTCCAGCCACCCCTCAAACCTCCAAGACAAAGGCCAGTCCGAGCAATCAGGAAGACCAGGAAACGGTACACTTATTCAGTTACATTTATTTACTAAGTTTTTCAAATTTGTACACGAGCACATTGATGTTTTTCTGCATGCAAACACTGAAATTAGATAGATAGATGGATAGATAAATGGTATTTATTGATTCATTTCCATGTATCGCAGTTACAAGTAACTGAATTGTGCATGAATAAAACATTGATGGTGAAGACAATTATACATTTCAAGAGATATCACAGTAAAAAGTAACTGAATTGCATTGCACATGAGTAAATTGATGCATTTAAAAGACATCTCAAAGTCATTATGCCTTTCGGAGGCATGTTTTCGGGTTGTCCGTCCGTACATCCGTACGACTGTACGTATGTCCCATACTCATTATCGCGTTATCTCAAGAACTGACCAATGGATACTCACCAAACTTGGATAATGTATGTATCTTGGGGTGATGATGAACTGATTAGATTTTGGGGTCATACGGTCAAAGGTCACAGGGCTCATATATGTAAAAAATAGCTCATTATCACATTATCACGTACTAGATCCGATTGATGGATTCTCACCAAACTTGGTTCATGTATGTACACTACCGCTCTAGGGAATTGGCATCGGGTAAAGGGAAAGGGAAGAAAGGAAAGAAACCGCGGTTTTGAACCGCGGTATATTTTGTCCGGTTCAGCATGAAACACGATGCTTTAGCCTAAAAAGCATCGTGTTTCATGCTGAACCGGACAAAATATACCGCGGTTCAAAACCGCGGTTCCTTTCCTTTCTTCCCTTTCCCTTTACCCGATGCCAATTCCCTAAAGCGGTAGTGTATATACCTTGGGGTGCCAATGAACCGATTAGATTTTGGGGTGATGAGGTCAAAGGTCATATATCCAAAAATAGATGGTTATCGCATCATCTCAAGAACAGATTGATGGATTCTCACCAAACTTGGTTCATGTATGTCCCTTGTGCCAATGGTCTGATTAGATTTTGGGGTCATGGGGTCATGAGGTCAAAGGTCACATGGTTCATTATATATATGCAAAAATAGCATATCGTATTATCTCAAGAACTGATCAATGGATTCTCACCAAGCTTGGCTCACATACGTATGTATCTTGGAGTGCCAATGAACTAGTACAATATAGAGTCATGAGGTTCAAAGGTCACATCTCTCAAATCACATGTGATATAAAAATAGCATAACGGTGGAGGCATCATTTCGACCGTGCAGTCAAGATCCATCTAGTTTTCATATGCACTGTATGAAATGTGCATAAACTTCAGTTAACTCAAGTTCTGTACAGAATATTCAACTCTTGCACTTATAAATTCATCCGAACTATTGTACAGGGTGGCCAAAAAAGAGTGCTGCAAAACTGACTCTTAAAGGGATAACAGTCAAGTGTCTAAATCCACGAAATGTACTTGGAGCTTCCTCATTTCTCTTCTACCGTATCTTATAGCTTATCATAAAAGAGGAATAATGTCGGGTTAGATTTTTTCAAACATCCCTTGAGTATGAAGATAACTATCATTAACAATCGTTTAGCTCAAAAGCGTTTATAAATGCTTTTAATTCTACACACTGTTCTACGTAAATTAGTTGTAAAACTTGCTTTTTTAACCAGGAAAGCAGTGCTCTTTTTCAATGAAACTTTCACAGACAATTCCCACATATCTACGAATGATTTTAGTATAGGAATTACGTCTCAGGTGTCATTTTTAGCAAAGTCAAACACTTGGGTGTTATCCCTTTAATTACAAAGACCTGAATGAATGCATAAAATTATTGTTTATAGTATTTGAAAGAAAAACACTTCAAATTTATTTACCACCAAAATCATCAATTTTCATGCGATTTTTTTTCTTTTATTCTATGGTAATTTTTCATTGAAAAATTGCGATTTGCCAATTTGTCTCCTTTTCCAAGGGAAATTAGACTTAAGGAACAGAAATGGCTGGGCTAGCCTATAGAAAACGAAGATAAAGAGTGAATACTACTGTTTGTAACACCATTTGCAAAGTTACATAATAAATGCCTATGTAGTATTCAGTTTTTGTCTTCATTTTCTATAGGCTTCTAAAGGCATTTCTATTGGAAGCTTACTGTTTCTCATTTAAGCATGATTTCACTGGGAAAGACACAAATTTTGCAAATCACAACTTTTCAGTAGAATAACCATAGAATAAAAAATCTTTATGAAAATTGATGATAGTGGTGCCAAATAAAAATTGAAGTGTTTTTCTGTCAAACACTAGTAATTTCATTCAGTCATTCATGTCTTTGTATTAAATTAAGAGTTGGTTTTGCAGCACTCTTTCTGGGCTACCCTGTATATTCCTGTACATGCAACAATTAGAAAACCACATTATAATTTACCAAATTTAGAAGAGCTCAATCAGAAATGTTCCATTTATCTCTATATTCCAAGACAAATACTAATAGAAAATTCTGATTCAGACATAGTCAACTCTGCCCAAGTCAAATTTCTTGGGACTGAAGGAAATGCTTCGACGTAGTGAAATTCGACTTGTAAGGGGCCACAAACAATAAAAGCATGGGAGCCAGTAAACTTGAGACCTTCGACTTGGCGATTTTTTGACTTATGCAGAGTTGACTGTATTTAAAGGTTGAAGCCTTGGATACCGTCAAAAATGACATAGTCTAATAACATTGTCATGGTGATGTCGAATCTACAAAAATAAAATTTACGAATAAAATATCTAAACTGATTGGTTTGCTGTTGTAATATTTGCTATTTTTGCAGAAACTGTTGGTGAATGATCCATCGGATCCAAATCGATATGCGCACATAAGAGTATCCAGGGTGGGCTACAGGACGATGGTCCACAAAGCCTCAAGGGCCAAAGATGGTGCGAAGAAACTGATGAACAATGCACTGGACCTCGTGTTTTCAAGAGAACAGCTTGCTGCATCCAGTGGGATGGGACTGAGGAAGGAGAAAGATGCTGGAGCCACAGTACCGCACCCACTGGATGCAGTGAAAATAGCTGCAATTCTTGGTGAGCAATAGTGTCTCATTAATCCAATATGCCAAAGTGATACAATCTGAAGGTGCATTACACAATGACCTTAGGGTGTGTATGTGATCGCAGCATCTGGCTACCAAATCATGTAAATTATCACATTGTTTCATATTTCCTGTCAGTTTGTTTTAAAATGTTAATAATTTTATCCTGTTGCTTTGCACACTTTCACTTGATGTTGATCACTGTCTGGGAAATCAACAATACGGGTGAAAACCGTGTCCCCATAATGGCAAAACAAAAAGGAGTCACTGAAATCTTTTCAAGCCCCTCCCCCCCCCCCCCCCCCCAAAAAAAAAAAAAAAAATCCCATAATGTGAAGTATAAAATGTAATTCAATAGGTGTATAGTGAGATTTTGCGAATGGCCTCAAAAATACGCAACTGTAAACTAAGATTCCCCAGCAGCTTTCTCCTATCAGAATCAAGTTACTTTACACTGTTAGATATTGTGTATGTGTAATATATTTAAACATACATTTGTGGTTCAAATGACACAATTATGAAGAGTTTTTATGATATTTTGCGACACAACATGATTATTTCACTCTTTTTATGTCTTGCAGACTTCACAAAATCCTTCAGTAAGAGCCAAGGCTGGGCGCTTCCTATGGACAAGGAGCTCCGGAGGATTGTCACCAACAAAGTGACTAATGCTCGAAGGAAGTGAAACGGAAACTATCTATGTATCTTCTCCCATTTATCTTTCCATTTCTCTCTATCTCTTTCCATTCTGGTGCACTCCTGCAGTTTTAGTCAGCTCCAGCTTTTAATGTTCCCTTCCCAGTTGCTTTTATGCTTCCATAATGGATAGCCAGAAAGACATTTAAAGCTAGCAAAGACATTTAAAGCTAGCAAAGTAGTTTTGTAGTTTTGACATAGCTCCACTGTTGGTACTTCATTTTAATTGTAAGCATGTAATTGGTTCTTGGGAAGTCATTACCTTTGTCTATTGCAGAATATAGTACACCTGTTTTCAGATGATTGAAAGCTCATGTCATATCCAAAATGTGCTTTAGAGATTTCTTTTCAACTGGAGGTTGGTAAGTTTGAGATTATTTTCAACAAATTTTAGAAATCTGTTACTATATGGATTTTTTGTAATTCCTTTTTGTACGTACACGAGTATGATGTATGTTTGTACTGAGCTTGCATGCGAAGACATGTTTTGCCCTCGCATGTGTGATTGATGCACGATCCGATCTTTGAACAGGGCATCTTGCCTGTTCGGATAAAGAGGAGCTAGACTGATAATCTAGCCGCAGCTCGATTCTAGTCTCTCCGCGCCAGTTGTTTTTTTGCGGATCGGCAGGCCTTGTTCAAAGGCTACATGCGTACATTTGTTGACATTGTTGCTGCGCTGCGCTCGCTGCTGGTGTACGTGTTACTATGACCAGCGCCAGCCCACTCACTCCCCGCACATTGTGGGAGCGCCCTCGCCCTGGTACGAGGTACCGCGGGGCTGGCTGCTGGTGTTATAAACATGCTTGCTTTGGCGACAACATTTCTTCAAAGAAAGAGCTTAAATTTCTGGATTTTATCCGGATCTCACTCTTCGTTTTTATCAACATTTGTGAAAGTTTGAAACCTGGCATCGAAATCAAAATCAAGGAAACAAATTTTTCCGACCGGAATATATAATCTTGAAGTTGAAAATCAAACTCACAATGGCCTATGCATTATTTGACAGTTGCAGCAGTACAGGTTCACGATCGTTAAGCCTATTAACGTGATTATTAAAAGGTGAGAGAATTTTCCCAAAATACGTTTTTTAATGAAAAAATACGATTTTTTCCTCCTAAGAATACTTTTTGGGGTTGATGAAGGTTGTAGTAGAAGTTAAACAAAAATTACTGCAACATCTTTTGATGATAAGTTATCGATAGAACCTTTATTTATAACACAAGTTGACAACAGTTGCTGGATAAAGAGTGTCCAAATTAGTTTAAGGAGCAATATACATGTATGTACAACCTGTAAATTTGTATGAAACAAATACATTTCACATTATTTTATATAGATGTTTATGATTCTTGCTTTGTGTTGGTGGTGAACATGTGTGAATAGAGGCATAATGGAATGTGAGCACTGATACATCTGAAACAAGCAAAAGTGACACACTGAGACATGCACACATACACAAGGTGACGTTTTCCATTGTTTGATATTGGATCGGTTGGTTTAAATGTTATTTGTATGAGGAATATATTAGGAAATCACCATTCCTGGTAAGAAGCTCAACCAACATCGCAGGAATCAGAGCAGTCAACTGAAGAACAAGCAACAAGAGCTGATGTGCCAAAGAAGGTTACCACTGCACTGGACAGCCGTGACTTGATTACTTTAACCCATTGCAGACAAGCTGATTTTGCTATAACCACACTTGCCATAGACCCCAGCCCAAGTATACTCGGTACTCATCTTCAATGATTTAAAGTGGTTTTGTACTTGCATGCTAAGCAGTCGCTGATGACTGCTTATATATAGAGCTTCGATAAAAGCAGTTGGTAACGAAGGTTTGTCCAATAAGCAGTCGAGAATAAGCAGTTCCTGAGGAAGGCTTAGCTAATTTGCATATTAACTTTGCTGTGGGAAGGCTTAGCGACTGCTTATAAGCCTTCGAGGACACTGGAAGGCTTATAGAGCTTCAAATGTAAGCAGTTGAAGGCTTTATTTAGAGCTTCAAAAACAAGTAGTCGAAGGCAGTTCCTGAGGAAGGGTTAGCTAATTTGCATATTAACTTTGCTGTGGGAAGGCTTAGCGACTGCTTATAAGCCTTCGAGGACACTGGAAGGCTTATAGAGCTTCAAATGTAAGCAGTCAAAGGCTTTATTTAGAGCTTCAAAAACAAGCAGTCGAAGGCTTATTTTAGAGCTTCAAAAACAAGCAGTTGAAGGCTTATTTTAGAGCTTCGAAAATAAGCATTCGAAGGCTTATTTAGAGCTTCAGAATAAGCATTCGGTAGCTAATTTGCATATTAACTTTGCAGTGGGAAGGCTTAACGACTGCTTATAAGCCTTCAAAGGCTTAAGAAGACTATTGACACATATATTGTGGATGAAGAGCTGTGAAGGCTTATTTTGACTGCTTAACCGACTGCTTAAGGACTGCTTACCAAAGGCCTTCAGTTTGGTAAGGGTATCACACACACACACACATACAAATGATCGTTGATATTTGATATTTGATATTTGATATGTGTGGCATGATTAATTTTTTTAGGGATATTATTTGGATCTGCAAAGACCGAATTAATACACAAATCCCAATTGTTTTATTCAAACATCACATAAGCAACTTTGGCGCAAGTCGATTTTTGCACTCTCAACCCAGGTGATGTAAATGAGTACCTGGTAGGTATTAATTCCTTGAAAAGCTGGAGCGCTGTATAAACGCAGCTAGGCTAAAGGGTGGGTAATAATAAATGAGCCTCGGAATAGAATTATCTAGATAGACGGCGCTATAGAAATGCCTATTATTATTATTATTATTATTAAAATGACCTAGTTGAGAAAAAAATTAATCACACTGGGAACACTTATCTCCTGTGTGTGTTCTAAGGTGGCTAGTAACATCACCTTTATAAGAAAATATCTGATATAATCAGGAATGTTTTAGGGTTTCTTTCTAGTACATGAGTGTGTCCTAATATGACGATTAAGATTACCTTATTGAGAAACTTTCTCATCACAATGGTAATATTGATGAGGCTATTCTCCATTGTGTGTTCTAAAATGTTTAATAAGGCGACTTCTTTGAGAAAATCCCTTATCACAATGGGAACATTGATAAGGCTTTTCTCCACTGTGTGTCCTCAAATGGCTTATAAGGTGACTTCTTTGAGAAAAATCCTTATCACACTGGGAACACTTCAAGGGTTTCTCTCCTGTATGTGTTCTAATGTGGCTAGTGAGATGATTCTTTTGAATAAATCCTTTATCGCAATAGGTACATCGATAAGGCTTTTCTCCAGTATGGGTACATAGATGCTTTCCTAGATTACTTTGGCGAGAAAAACACTTATCACAATGGAAACATCGATAAGGCTTTTCTCCTGTATGCGTCCTTACATGATAGGTAAGATATCTTTGTTGAGAAAAACACTTACCACAATGGGAACATTGATAAGGCTTTTCTTCACTGTGTGAACTGAAATGGCTTATAAGGGCACTACTTCGAGAAAAACCCTTATCACATTTGGAACACTGATAAGGCGTTTCTCCTGTGTGGGTCCTTACATGACAGGTAAGATTACTTTGTTGAGAAAAAGCCTTATCACAATGGGAACACTTAAAAGGTTTCTCTCCTGTATGTGTTCTAAAGTGGCTAGTTAGATCATTTTTTTGAGAAAATCCTTTATCACAGTAGGTACACTGATAAGGCTTTTCTCCTGTATGCATCCTTTCATGAGATGTAAGATTACTTTGTTGAGAAAATCCCTTATCACAATAAGAACATTGATAAGGCTTTTCTCCACTGTGTGTTCTTAAATGGCCAATAAGGTGACTTCTTTTAGAAAAACCTTTATCACACTGGGAACATTGATAGGGCTTTTCTCTACTGTGTGTTCTTAAATGGCTTATAAGGGTACTACTTCGAGAAAAACCCTTATCACATTGGGAACACTGATAAGGCTTTTCTCCTGTGTGGGTCCTTACATGACAGGTAAGATTATTTTGATGAGAAAAACCCTTATCACAATGGGAACACTTAAAAGGTTTCTCTCCTGTATGTGTTCTAAAGTGGCTAGTAAGATCATTCTTTTGAGAAAATTCTTTATCACATTGGGAACATCGATGAGGCTTTTCTCCACTGTGTGTTCTTAAATGGCGAATAAGGCGACTTCTTTTAGAAAAACCTTTATCACACTGGGAACACTTGACAGCTTTCTCTCTGGCATGTGTATTAAGGTGGCTAGTAAGATTATTCTTTCGAGAAAATCCTTTATCACATTGGGAACATCGATGAGGCTTTTCTCCACTGTGTGTTCTTAAATGGCTTATAAGGGAACTACTTAGAGAAAATCCTTTATCGCAATGGGGACACTGATAAGGCTTTTCTCCTGTATGCATCCTTACATGAGATGTAAGATTACTTTGTTGAGAAAATGCCTTATCACAATAAGAACATCGATGAGGCTTTTCTCCACTGTGTGTTCTTAAATGGCTAGTAAGGGTGCTTTTTTGAGAAAAATCCTTATCACAATGGGAACATCGATGAGGCTTTTCACCACTGTGTGTTCTTAAATGTCTAATAAGGGTACTTCTTTGTGAAAAACCTGTATCACAATGGGAACATTTGAAAGGTTTCTCTCCTGTATGTGTTCTAAGGTGACGAGTCAGATGACCCTTTGTAAAAAAAATCTTATAACAATGGGAACACTTAAAAGATTTCTCTCCGGTTTGTGTTCTAAGGTGGCTAGTGAGCTCATACTCGCCCTGGTGTGTTTTCTGATGTAGTATAAGAGTGATCTCATCAGTAAATGTCTTACTGCAATGTAAACACTGATGGGACTTCTCTCCACTGCATGCTGTTGTATGTTGGTGTATCTTGTCCTGTCCATTGTCCAACTCTCTATCTGAGGAGGAAAATATACAGTATTCCTATTATCCAACTATTTACTTTATCAACGAAGCATCATGAAGAGGATATTTGTATGAAAGGCCAAGTCAATCTGCTTAACGCTCAGCTTTATAAGCAAATACACACTGTCTTATTCATTCACAAAATCTTACATCTATTCAAAAGGTTATTCATGCTGTTGTATTAATATCTAATTTAGGATTGATGGTCATTGACCATGTTCCCTTTTTGTTAGCATAATTGTGTATGAGAGAAAGAAAAAATCATGTTCATACTTCAAAAAGTATCATAAAATGGATTTTTAAAAAACCTAATTTATATGTCAATAACAGTCATAACTGTAGGATAGAAAGGTGATCATTAAACATTGTAGCACAGGCAAATGTAGTAAGATCTAGGACACAAATATTTTTAGATATCAATTGAATTCTGTGATGAGGAGTGTGCCACAAGGACCTTTGATGGGACCTTTACTCTTCACTTCAATATACAATGACATGAAATTCTTTAATTCTACTTTGGGTTCTTAAAGATGAAGTTGAGTTCTGGTCATGCGATTACATTGTAAAAGAAACGGTGTGGAATCGATCAGAAAAGGTTGATCATCTAGCATATAAGTATTTGTGTGTATCGCAAGGTTCTGGAATCATCAAAATGATAAGAAATTTGGCCAAGTCTTGGTAAAGTTACAAACACTGTACACAGAAAGATGTATATGGGAATACAGGAACACGTGGTGTAAAAACCCTACCCACGATTTTTACGATTTTACATGACATATTCAGAATATGAAGGCATTTGAAGAGCCGTGCTTTTCAGGGAACAGGTTTGATCTGATGTTCTTCCACACTTGCATAATAACAATGATAACGCTCATAAATTATTTTTCACCTCTTCCCAGAACTCAACCTTCTCTTTAAATGTGCGTTGCACGCAATTTAGCCCCTTCAAAACACGCATAAGTTATGCTTATATTTTCACAAGTTCTCAAATCTGCGCTTGCCGATCTCAGCACAAATATGTGTAAAATAATGTACCGGTAACGCAAATGTTTCTTCTTTTACAGTATTTATTAAATGCTAAGCACATTTCAGGCGAATTCATGGTCTCGTAATCCCGCTTTTTAATAGCGTTATGTAGATTTGTGGTCGTGATCTGGTCTGACAAATTTTCTCAAGATAACAAAAATTTGGTCTCAAGATCAAACATTGTTTGTTATACCTGCTCTAACAAAAGAAGAAAGTGACCGGTAATCAATGGATCTAAAGTAATACCTTAACAAAAAAATAAATGACTTTACAGCTTCAAAGACATGGCACTGTTTAATCATGGACCTATTACAGATGGACATTCATCGTTTTCTTAACGAATTCATTGTGATTGTCTCTGTCAATGTCGTCTTAATAACATTCCGTACATGTTTCTTCCCTTTGGTCTCATGATGGTCACCGGCAAAAAGCCGGGACAGAATCAAGATAGTGATTTTACACATGTTAATCTACATGCGCAGAAGATAATTACTCGCCTAAATCATGGAAAATAAATGTGCACAGTTCTGGCTTATAATCGGAAATTGTTGTTCCCTGTACTGTACATGTATTATTTTTTTTGAAAAACATGTTGATATTACCAGATAGAGGTTATTTGGGGATTTTTTGGTTGTGATTTAAAATCCTGTTTCCCCCTATTTCCTCATAATATTCCAGAGTTACAACGCACAGGGCTGATACAGATCATGGCCTTCTAATTGTTTTATAAGGTCATAGGTGTGTGCAAAAGTTTGTAAATCAGTAATAATACATTTCATATCACCAAAATCGTCTGCTTTTCAACTTTGCTGCTCCCCATTGGGGATGCTTTTATTTAAGACACACTCTTACAGAGCACACCATCCAAACAAAACCCAAGAGAGGGAAACTGCTCCTTTGTCAATGACCAAAAATGCTTATGCAGTCGTTATTGTTAAAACAGCTGAATGTTCTCATTAAGATGCACATAATCAGAAGGCGGCGACTATGATTGGATCAAAGAAAGAATCACGTTGAATGTCCATCCGTAATAGGTCTATGGTTTAATACATTAAAGATACAGTGATCTAAGAGAAAGTAAGAAAAAGTGGATGGCAAGATGATGCAAGATGGATGGCAAGTTAAGGCTCATCAGAAAAACCCTTTTGGGAGCATCAACATACATTCTCTAGAGTGTGCTTTTGTTTATATTCTTGTCGGAGGAAATACATGTAACAACACACACAAAATTCTCCACTTGCCGCCTTTAAGAACTAGATGGATCTTTGACTGCGTGCAGTCGAAAAGGATGCCTCCGCCATAGAGCAATTTTACAATTTTGTATTATTTGTTTGCATGTTCTAAGATGGTTACGAGGGTGCTGTGACTGAGGTGGTTTCATGAGAAGAGAAGTTAAAGATTTTCTACAGTGTATGGCTAGATGGATTGGATAAACATATTGGTTTGTATTCCTCATCATAACAGGAACATGAGGCTTTTCTTATTACCGTAGTGTAATTTTCCCTTAGAAGCCTTGAAAGGCAAGATTTTTAAGAACCATTTTCCCAAATAGAATATAATTAAGTTACTTCTTGTTTTCATATTGCTAATAAGGCTTCTTCTCTTATCTTTTAGTACAATGGGTAGTGTAATCTGTTTTTTCCCATATGTGAGTTCTTTGAAGCTGTGTCGGACACAATGTTCAATTCCAGTATGCCACAAATGAATTACCAGAATAGTTTATCTCTTACAAATCAATGAATTGTATGAGAAAATCATTCATTATTCACATTTTCATCTGGATTTCCTACAATATGTGTTGTTATTATAGGGAAGGTAAAATCAATTTGTTGAGAAAATTCCTTATCACAATGGGGACATTGATGAGGCTTTAGCCCACTGGCACTGCGTGTTCTAAAATGTCTAATAAGGGTAATTTTTGGAGAAGAACACTTATCACACTAGGAACAGTGAAAAGGCTTTTAATTATAATAATAATATTTAGTTTTTATATTGCGCTTAATACATCTCGGATGTCTCTAAGCGCTTTACAGATATACTATTACCCCTATTAGCAGCTCTGAGAATATTCATTACATCGCCATTGTGTTTGCGCACAGCCTGTTCTATAATGTATTATTATTATTACTTATACAAGAAAATCCCTTATTACATTTGTGATAATTATATGGCATTTTTCTTGTTTGATATTAGGCTAGTAGCAAAATCATATACTGTATTTACAATAAAATCCATCAAAGTAAACATTTAAATGGCTTTTCTTCGGTATGTATTCTCAGAAACTCTTGAATCTTAATGTTATAGGGTTTGTGTGTGTTCTTTATGCCTTGTAGGCTCACTTTTATAAGAAAATTCCTTATTACATTAGGAACACAATTAACAGGTTTCTGTCCTGTATGTGTTCTAAGCTGGCTAGTAACATCCTTTTTATAAGAAATTTCTTATTACAATCTTGACATTATAAGGTTTTTCTCCAATGTGTGTCCTAACACGACAGGTAAGATGAGCTCATTGAGAAAAACCTGTATCACACAGGGAATAATTAGGGGGTTTCTTTCCTGTAGGTGTTCTTAGGTGGTACACGAGTAAGCTCATTCTTTTGAAAATAAATCCCATATGAAACACTTGTTTTTTGTATTGTATGTGTTCTAAGGTGGCTAGTAAATCCCCTTTATAAGAAAATGTCTCAATACAATCAGAACATATTTAAGGTTTTTTTTTAGTACATGAATGTGACCTAATATGACGATTAAGACCACCTTGTAGAGAAAAACTCTTATCACAATGGGAACAGCGATAAGGCTTTTCTCCACTATGTGTTCTTAAATGTCTAATAAGGGTACTTTTATGAGAAAAACCTGTATTACAATGGGAACACTTAAAGGGTATCTCTCCTGTATGTGTTCTAAGGTGACAAGTAAAACGATTCTTTTGGGAAAATAGCTTATAACAATGGGAACATTTATAAGGCTTTTCTCTACTGTGTGTTTTTATATGTCTAATAAGGATACTTCTCTGAGAAAAACCTTTATCACACTGCGAACACTTAAAGGGTTTCTCTCCTGTATGTGTTCTCAGGTGACAAGTAAGATGATTCTTTTGAGAAAAAAACTCATAACAATAGGAACATTTATAAGGGATTTTACCACTGTGTGTTCTTAAATGTCTTATAAGGGTAATTCTTTGAGCAAAACCCTTTTCACACTTGGAACATCGATAGGGCTTTTCACCACTGTGTGTTCTTAAATGTCTAATAAGGGTACATCTTTGAGAAAATTCCTTATCACAATGGGAACATCGATAAGGCTTTTCTCCACTGTGTGTTCTTAAATGGCTAATAAGGGTACTTCTTCGTGAAAATTCCTTATCACAATGGGAACAGTGCAAAGTTTTCACTCCAGTTTGTGTTCTAAGGTGGCTACTAAGCCCATACTCGCACTGGTGTGTTTTCTGATGTTGTACAAGAGTTATCTCATCAGTAAATGTCTTACTGCAATGTAAACACAGATGGGACTTCTCTCCACTGCATGCTGTTGTATGTTGGTGTATCTTGTCCTGTCCATTGTCCAACTCTCTATCATCTGGGGAGGAAAATATACAGCGTTCCTATTATCCAACTATTTACATTATCAACAAAGCATCATGAAGAGAGTATTTATATAAAAGGCCCCCCCCCCCCTCCCTCCCGGTCGTATTAAGACCTCAAATAGCCCAGCCAAGAATGAAGAAGAATCTAGGTGTTTTTTTAAGGACTTAAGACCAAGTGACACATGTACATGTATGTATATGGCTTAATCAACATTTGTTGGATCAACCCAAACTTGGTGCAAGGATATTTAAGAACACTAAAAGACCATTTTGCTCATAAACCCCGGCCTAAGCAGGAAAAAAAGGAATAGGGTATCACACGATAGAGTTACTTTTTATTATGGAACAGATTTCAAGATCACATTGGTTATGACTTTTTAATTAGGGGTTATTTACTCAAGTTGTGTATATACATGTACTTTTTTTAGAGCACTGTATAAGAAATGGCAGCTCTATCATACAAATTACAAAGTAATTGATGTCCTTGCATTACATCAATGTGATGTCATCACAAATAAACTTGTCTGACATTCCTTTTCATCAATTTAAAACTGTTGTATTGTCTATACTATTTTTTTAAAACTTCATTGATATGCTAGTGATTGTTCTGCTGTCAGCACTGTTTTTTTTTAAAAATCATTAACAGGGAATTCCACCCTCATATTAAGTTGGTTTTATGGAAACAGAAAAATGACAGGAACAGGTCAGTGAAAGCTTGAGCAAAAAACGATTGAAAACAAGAAAGTTATGAATTTTTGTAGGTGCAATCAGTCATACACAAATTGGCAACTGTGTGACGTATCTTGCAAGCTCTGCTCCCATTAACCCTGAACAGAAAAATTATCAATCATACTTTCACACTAAATGTAATTATTAAAGATATGTTTTTATAAAACCATTGTATGAAACAAATATATTCTGTCATCTTTAACTAAGAAATAGAAGTTTATGACATTTTCTGTACAGGGAGCAAAGAGAACATACTTTCCTTTTTTTTTCATCAGATTTTTTTTTTTAGGGGGGGATTATATTAAACTTAATTAATATCAGGATGGACTTCCCCTTAAGGGATTTGATTTGCCTCAAAGATGAAAGAATGTTGATCATACCTTTAGGAATTGATTGCTTAGTTTCTCCTGCTCCTTCACCTTGAGTTGTAATAGGTTTAAATATCTCTTCCTTGTCTTCCTGCTTTATGGTGGAATTGATCATTTCTATAAGAAAAGGAAATCAAGAAAAAATGTTCAACATCTTTCTTTTAATAGTTGCGCATTTCCTACTTATTTGAGGATTTTGAACTATTCTTCATCACTTTGTCTATTGTTCAGACCATGTCAATTCTTGTGGTGCAACTTGATGTTCAAGATATTAAAGGAGAACTAAACTCAGCCATTTTAGTGTCATTATCCTGTACAGTCATATTGAAACATGTTTGATACAAAAACTCGCTCATTCGAGCCTTCAGAGGTGGTTTTATTAACTATATTTAATATGACAAGCATCGTCTGCTCGTGTACTACATAGGAAAATGCTATTTTCACGGCCCAAGTCTGTTCCTCTGCCGAGTTGTGACGTGTCAGCGGGTAACTGCATTAGGAATCGCATACGCATGTGTGAATTTATTACAGAGAAAATAGTGTATAGCATTTGGTGTAAAAATGCCTCCTGGAAAAGTACTTGAGAAGTACTTTCAGTCAATTTCTAAGAAGGAAAACCAACCAGAGTTGTTAAGGCAATGGGCTGCAGCAATTAAAGTTTAAAAATTCTTTATAAAACGGCTACAAAGACAGCCGTCATGATGTGATCTATAATATATACAAGTAGATGCGCGTACGTACGTATACGATTGTTGTACATTGATTGCTCCAGTGGGTGCTCGATTTGAAGAAAGGAAAATTTGTGATTTTAGTTTTGTCTATTTTTAATATATCGTTATTCATAGGGGTCCCTATTCATAATACAAGAAGAGGGTCTCGATATCCACCCTCTTCTCGTATTATGAATAGCGGTGAGTAGTGACCCCGAAAATAAATTATGAATAGTGCCCCTTCTTCATGTTTATGAATAGCAACCCCGATTTCGTATTATGAATAGCGGTTCTTATGAGTAATGACCCTCAATGTGATTTATGAATGGCGACTCTCTTCTCACATTATGAATAACGGTCCTTATGAATAACGGTCTTTATGCCTTTATGAATAACGGTCCTTATGCCTTTATGAGAAGTGTTGGCTTAGTCAGTAGAGCGTCTGCCTCACGTCCGCCTCACAACCGGGACGTCATGGGTTCGAACCCCGGCCACGTCATACCAAAAGACGTTAAGAAAAGATGGGAGTTGCTGCTCCCTTGTTTGGCGTTCAACAATAAGGGATAGAGGAACGTCAATCTATCGCTGCTCAGTGGCTGCCGGGCTCACGATCAATTAGGCAAAAAGAATTTCCGTTTTGGTTTAAATTGGAGTGGACTTGAAAAAGATTATTATTAAAGTTACATGTTATAAATAGCGGTCCTTATGACTAGCAAGGTTACCCAATGATACCACAGTAGTTAATACAGGTCTACATTGTATCTGAACTAATTACCTCCTTGTCGGTCCACAAGGGGTGTTAACAAATTAATTTTGTTTAATGTTCATTCCAACCCAAAACCATTCAATAATATGAGGTACAACATTTGCTTGAAATGCTTCAAAATAAGAATTGCACAAGAGCCCAGCCCCATTAGACTTCTCTTGATAACTTTATACATGTACCTCGTTCAGTCGATAGGTCTTGTCCTTCTGCACTTGAGAGGGATTCAAACATGTCTGTGTCAACTTCTTGTTTGATGGTGAATACCAGACCTGTTATGAACAAAGTAAAGATATTTTCATATTATCTGAGAAGTAAAATTTGATCTGGTTACTCATCATTGGGTACAAAGAGAAGAATGAATTTTATAATCAAATAAAATATGGTATGCCAATAACTCACAAGAATGAATGTCATTGTAATGAAACAGAGGGAAAAGAACATTAAAGGACATCTATAGATGTACAGTACATGCAATTAGATCTATATGGATATTTTCAGTTTTTTTTTTTATTGGACTTTGCCACCAGGAGCCAGGAGTGTGCCCCAAGGATGCATCCTCCCTACTCACAACAAACATTCATATTTTCTGGTTGATTTTCCTTTAAAAGGATTGTTAACCCTGATAGCAAACTACTCTAAAAGAAAGTAGGAAAATCTGAGAAGCAGATGGGTGAAAGTTTGAACGAAATTGGAAAAAAAATAAGAAAGTTATGAACTTTGGAAAGTTCTAATTACTAAACATATGGGCAATTCAAATGTTGCATTTTTAAAGTCACTATGGGGAACTGCCGGACAACTATCCTATTTGATCCAACACACAATTTGACCAAAACATCAATTTTACAAACTCTATGACTCGGGATTATCTTTTCATTTTTAGAGAACCATATCCGAACTGAAATATGAAATGGATGAATTCATACCTTGGAAGTAGAAAAGCTTATTTAGCCATAGATTACAATAACATCAATTATATATGCCATTTTAGTATCTGTCAGAGGAGTACCGTATGAGCTCCCTGAAAACTCAAAAATTTAAAGCTTGGAAAATCGAAAGTTGATGACCTACAAACTTGACTCGATGATATCACCATTTGTGGAGTACGCATATTCACAATGACTTTGCATTAATTAAGCACGGCTCATCGCCTCAGATAGGTGAACCGGTCGGGTCCACATGAGTTATGTCGTATCTGTAACTCTAGCAAATTTGACCCCTGTTGACCCATAATTTGGAGGGGTCGGAAAATGAGGTTTTAATTTGCTGTTGTGCAATAATGAAAGAGTAGAGACTTTTTATTCTTTTATATTTGTATTCTACATTCATATAGTTTTCCATTTATATCAAGATGTATTTTCATGAGATAGAGTCTTTCAAGAACCTATTGCATACCATCTTTAGTTACAAGCTGACCCTCATATCTCAATCCTTCTGAACCTGGAATGGAGATTAGACACACCTCCTCCTCCTCCTTAACTTCTCCTTCCTCCTTGATGCTGATGTTTCCTGTACATGTAAAAAAAAAAATAGAATCATTAAAACTCTTGATCACTATTACTTATTATTACTAGATATAATACAATCTGAAGTGGATATATTTATTTATGAAAATGCTAATTGTGTTTTTGAATATTAATGTATTATATATGCATCTGTTTGGAGGTTGTTTAGGTGTTTGAGTTTAGAGCTACATGTACATATTAAGCTTGCTGGTGGATAATTGGCTTGTTTTTAATCAATCTTACTTATTTTTTTTCTTCATGATTTGATGAGTATAAGGTAAGAAAATGAGGATTGTTTTAACTGAAAGATGCATATAGTGGTGGGCTCTCACTGGGGAATTCGACACATTATTTGGATGTTTACCCAATAGTAAGTGTTGTCAATCACCAGGATTAGTCTTCTGTTTTATGAATTATGACCAACAGGCCTTATATGTGATCTGCTTAATTATCTCACATTTCCCACAACCAAAGACTCTCTTAAAGACTAGGGGGTATTTCTTAATGGGACTACGTTTTGCTGAATGCAAGACTGGTAGCCTACACCCATCAATACTTCCCAATACACCCACCTCTACTAATGGGATAGACTATATAATGATAATAATTTCATTAAACTGATAAAAATGATAATAAGTACAAGAAAAGAAGGAGACGAAGAAAAAGAGGAGAAGGGGGAAAAAGAGGAAAATAATGATGAATATGTAGAATGTCTTTAACATACAAAAACATACTACATGTACAGTGTACTCCAGGAAGCTTGAAGCTCTGACTTTGGAGCTTCCTGGTCAGCAAGTCTTTTCAGCAAGTCTTTCAGCAGACGAATAATACAAGACTGGAACAGTTTGCCAGAAAATATTGTGGTCTTGGCAACAACGGACAAATTCAAAAGACACATAGATAAGCATTGGTGGGAGTATCGCTTCGATCTCCCATGACTCTCTCTCCTGTGCATGCGCATACACTCAGTAATTAATCCAACAGGCTAAACCTACTATAGAAGCAGTGACCGGGAATTACAGGCCAACGCCTTCTACCCGTACTTGATGATGATGATGATGATGATGATGATGGAGTTAGCACAAAATGAAAAAAGTATGAACCGGCAGAAGAATAACAATTTCAATCATACAACATGATATAGTCATTCGCTTCTCTCCTCTGACTCTCAAGTGTTAGGTATTCCTTTTTAATTTCCTCTTAAAATGAGCAAACTAAGTTGTCTATTTCCTTTATATTTAGGAAGGTATTGTTTAATATGGCCGCATTGCATTGTATTTCCAATACTACCTAGGGCTAGGGCCTACTTTTCTCTTAATTTCTGGTAAGTTAAACTTAGATCTAGTTGAATCGGCTATTTCTTGTATTATAACTTTTTAAGTTAGTAACAAGATCGAAGTTGGATCAAATATTGAAACACTCCATACCTTCATCATGTTCATGTGATGACTGAAGAGTTCCCTCTCCTTCTCCATTATCTATAATTGAGAGAAATGGCCTACAATCACTTCCTTGCTTCATCGCCATGTTGTCTGTCTGTGTATGAAATATAGCCTACGGTTGCTGCATGCTGCACATATAATGCTGTCACATGTCAAGATCGCAGCTCGCTAGTCGCACGAAGGCGGCGTACCGACCGGATGTCCCGCGGGTCGTTACAGCTGCATTTGCTAAGGGATTTTGATAGGCGTCGCATCGAAGGGCTACTTCTACTTCTATCGTTTGCCGTCTTTTCTTAGACAATTTTTTCAACAGAAGATTCGTAATAAAACATCTATAAGTATAACTAGCTATGGCAGTAGCGAGACTCCCTCCATTGCCTACTATCAGAGAAATTATTCGGCTTTATGGACTTAGAGCTGAAAAACATCTGGCTCAAAACTTCCTTCTCGATTTGAAACTGACTGGTAAGCATTATATTTGGCGCTAGTTCAGAATCTTAACCAGGCTTCGTCCCGTAACTCCGGCGTGGAGATACCCTACTAAAACATACCAAAAAATCAACTAAATCTTCATTAATTGTTCAAATAATGGTCATGGTTTAAAATTTGTTATGTTCCTTACCTGTTTCGTGTCAATTTTCTTTTCTTTTTTAAGTATTTTCCTAAAAACAAAGACATTAAAATTATAGGGTCTACACTTTTTCACAGGTTTCACGCCAAACCGCTGCACCACCACGTACCACCGACGATGGGGTGTGGGCGCGCGCGTACGTGTGAATGAAGTAATCTCTGTTCCTTATTGATATTCGTGTGAGTAATTACCCCGAGTTATGATCATCATAATCTCTCCTCTGTAGTTGTGGAAAGCACGTCACTTAATATCTTTAAATCAAATTTGTCTAAATTTTGGTTGTCAAGAAAAGATCAATTTGATTTTGAGTCTTGCAACCCAGAACAGACAGAATTAAGCAGAAGTCCTTAGCTTTGTTTGTCCATGTTTGTTTGTCACGAAACATGTGTCTCAATATGGATTCTTCATCCTAATGTCAAAGAGACAAATATGTTTTAAACTTTAAATGCCTCCTTCCAATTCCAAGGTATATTTCCAAGGTATATTATGAATACGATCGCTAACTTCACACGTATATGCACCGCCAGTACCCCATCGTCGCGTCGAACCCCCCCCCCTCAATATTTGTATGTGTACGTTTTGGAGGAAACCCCCCCCCCCCCCTCCCCTCAATTTTTTTTTTTGTGCTATTGATCTCTGGGAGAATTGATTAATTCATAGAATATGGGATAGAGAGTTGTAGCACTCCATGGTCGCGAACGTCTCAGCATATGGCACATAAAAAGAAGAAAAGGTGACCCCCCCCCCCCCCCATTGCCCGGGGCCCCCTCCCAACTGAACGAAATATTGGTCTGCCAAATTTTCGGGGAAAAAAAAAATTGCTCTTCCCCCCCAGTGGCTGGCTGAGTCGTTGCAAAATTTTCGGCGCAATTTACTAATAAAATTTTAAAGACCCTTGAAAAAATCCAACGTATGCCCCTGACTCAACACTTGGAAAAACAACTTTAATAAAACAAAAAAAAGATGTTGCCCTTTAGGTGCTAGAACAGGATCGGTCAGATTAAAAAAAAACTTTTTAACGACCCTCCCCCCCCTCAAAATAGCAACGCCTGGTAGTAATGATAACAATAAAGCACAGTTTCTGCTCAAGGACTAAGGAGAGAACCAATGTTGAAACGCTGCCGTACCGTATAGAACCCATTTGTCCCATACACACTGTGCATGTGATTTAGATGAACATACCGTAATGACCTTCTTCTTTTTTTCGTCTTCCTTTTTTAGATAAGATTGTTCGTCAAGCTGGGAATCTCCAAGGAGCTCACGTATGTGAAGTAGGACCAGGACCTGGTGGCATTACTAGATCTATCATCAATCAAGGGGTCCAAGACCTCCTGGTCATAGAGAAAGATACAAGATTCATTCCCAGTCTAGAGGTACTGTACATACAACTTATTTCTGGGACCCGTTTCACAAATCCTTTTTTCAATGACAAATGACAAAAATCAGTGACAAATCTGCTGATATCCAATCAGAAGCAAGGATTTCAGTAGCTTATAACAAAATCTGCCATTTGTCACTGATGACAAGCTTTGTGAAACACCCCCCTGATTTTTCATCATTAAGTCCTTTTCTTGTAGATCAAAAAATCTGTCTCCTGTAAAAGTAGAAATATTTGCGATACATTAATTTTCACAGATTTCGCGATTAGATCGGCAAGCGCGTATTCTAGAACTTGCGAAAAATATAAGCATGATTTTAAATCATGCAATTGTCGAGCACCGATAGGAAAGAAAACGATGGAGTGAAGTGTGCAACCCGAATTTAAGAACGCGATTATATTTTTGGGTCGCTCATCACAAAAAATCACATGAATTCATTTTCACATGATGAGCCTAATTATGCACAGGTCGCAAGTGTCAGCATTTTCTTTCTTAGCTTATATCTCAGTTATCATATATTTCTTAGAAACATTGTTGGGCAGACATCCTGTATAATGTATCAAAGAAAAGTTTTCTTTGATTCTGATTTCTGTTTTTAACCGTGTCGTATTAAAATGAGGAGGCGCGATAGCTCAGTGGGTAGAGCAGTGGTCTCGTAAATCCGGTGACCCAGGTTCAAAACCAGGACGATGCGCTAGTGACCTTTGGTAAGGCATTAATCCTCATTACCAGGTCTCTCGGAGAGGACCTAAAGCCATCGGTCCTCTGGTTGCTTAATAACAAGCATTTATGCTTTCTTAGCAGTCAGGTAAAATAATCATCACATCACATCACAAAATATACTTGATCATTTGTTCCCATCAGATGTTAACTGAAGCTACAGAAGGTAGAGTGAGAGTGGCTTGTGATGATATTCTTCGTGTCAATCTGGCAGATGCTTTCCCTCATCACATCAAGAGAGACTGGAAGGATGGTAAGCTAAACACCAATCAGTTAGACCCTTCATTGAAGGTATAGACCTGGGGGCGTTCACAGAACCTGTCATCAGTGACAAGTGACAGTTTTTGTTATCAGAGAAATTTTTCAGAATGGTGAAAAGACAACATGTCTCAAATAATGTAATGTACAATAGTTGCCTTTTTGGGGATGCTAAAGGATGTGTCGTCTGTGTGAGCTTATTTCATTGATTTTAATCTGCCTTACAGCCATGTTTAACCTGTAATAAATTAGCCAAAACTTGTGGTGCATTCTTCCTCTTCTTCAGTTTATATCTGCCTTTCTTCAAGTTTGAAGATTCTTTACTCAGTGTGTGGTGTGTGAATGCAGAGTGTTTGCAAGGTCTAAATATATGGGAGATTGTTCATTTAGGCTTTCCAAACTTAAACATTTTCTTGAAATCAAGCTTTCAAATGTGAGCTAGTTTGACTTGACTGCCTGATTCACTGTGTTTTCTATTGGCTCGTAGATCCTCCCAATCTTCACATTGTTGGAAACCTCCCATTCAACGTCTCACTTCCTCTGATGCTACGATGGTTAGAGTCCGTTGCGGATAGGACGGGACCGTTCTCCTTCGGTAGAACCCGTATGTTACTCACCTTCCAGAAGGAGGTGGCAGAGGTAAGTCTATTCAGTTGACTCTCATTCTGTAACAGGAGGCAACATGTGGTATAAAAATTTACCACATATTAAAAAAGAAAAATATTACTTGTCATATTTTAGAATATGAAGGCATTTAAAGAGCCATTCTTTTCAGGGAGCATTTTTATCTCTGATGTTCTTCCACACTTGCATAATAACAATGATACCGCTCACATATTATTTGTCACCTCTCCCCAGAACTCAACCTTCTCTTTAAGTATTATATTTTCTTTCATACATCCATCCAAATCTTTCTGATTCAGACTGATGGAGTAGGAGTAGAACGTCTACCTTTGTTCCCCATCCTTTTCTCTATCTATCGATCTTTGATTTGTAATGTTCTTTGTATTAATGATCTACATGTATTTATATTGATTATTTACCAATCTTTATAATCATGTTGAAAATGTATGTATTATAACAATACAACCCTTTGGTTGCTACGAATAAATACATTTTTAAATCTAATGTTCTTCTTTTCTTGATTCAGAGATTAACAGCGCCCCCTGGTGATGATCAGAGGAGCAGGTTGTCTATAATGGCTCAACATCTGTGTCAAGTGAAGCAGTGCTTTGTGATTCCTGGGGCAGCGTTTGTACCCAAGCCTCAGGTGAGACTAGTCAATAATATCTAGCTATCTATGTGTGCGTTTAAGCAATTTTTTTTTTTAAAGCTAGAATCACAAATCAAAATGCCGTTAAAAACACGGTTACTGCGGAAGAGCGTTACAAAATGCATCTTTTTCAGCATTTCATGTTTGTGTTTTGAAACATGTTTATTTTGACGACCGACGAAAAATCGCTTGAAATCGCTTAAATGCAACCGTGTTTTAAACTAAACGTCTTTGAAAACCGTGTTTCTAGGGTGAAAAGTGTCGCTTGAACGTACCCTACATGTATGTCCCGTAGCTTGGAGGTCTTTGGGGCAACACTTAAACAGACCTTAAAGGTACTATGTCCCTTTTGCAGCCAGCCTCAAATTCTGTAGAACTTTGCAGGAATTATAAATATGTCATGTTTGTCCTATCTGTGAAATGTAAACGTTAGCAGTTTCCTAATATTCAAATTATGCAAGGAAACCCCTTTACTTGCTAGACTTCACTGTCAGACACTAGTGACTGACTGGCTTTTTTCTTCTTTGGTAATAACATACATAAAATGAGCTGTAAAGGGCACATGAGCATTTGTCTACATCAGTAACCCACTTCTTGTGATGGCCAAGATTAAACTGATTGAATCTTTGCGCAGCATAAAACGTATGACCATTCGGTACAATTGTCTGCAAATCAAGACTATTACTTTTGGGCTCTATAGCCCTAAAGTCGATTTGACAACTAATAGTCATTATTTTCCCACTTGAAGACATTTTCAAGCCCCACCTTTTTTAGGGAAGTTCTAAATTAGTATTATCTTTCAAATGCCTTTGGAATTTAACCTTTTCATTTTTTTGGCCTGCAAGTGGGACATAGTACCGTTAAAGCCTGTCTGTACTAGTTTGGCCTGGGGGATTAGACCTCCCTGCAAGGTCACTGGCAGGTGGTTATCTCATCAAATCAATTCTCAATTAACATAAGAAAAAGAGGATCATGGGGGACCAACAGGCACCGATTAGGCATTGTTTGCTATATAGAGGACACAAGTAGCTATAAGTAGTGCAGTGGGGATTTAAGACACTCAATCTGAATCTCACCCACTCTACTTTCGTTCCAAGAAAATTAAAATCTTTCATTCAATTTCCATAACTATTTTTCTGACTGTTATCCATATTATGTATTTGGTTTGCGTGAAGTAATATTCTTTACTGTTATATTCATATTTCATTAGGTGCCTTGGGTTTTCAAAGGGATGAACGAGATCCCATAAGAAATGTTGCTACATTGTAATATTACAAAGTAACTATGGAATCCTCCGACATAGATTGTCATACTTTAGTTTAGTGCAGTTGTTTGAGTATATTGTGGTAGAGTGTGGTCACAACTCTCAGACGATAACAAGTGTCCTCCTTCAACAGATTGATGTTGGTGTCGTTCATCTCACGCCATTACGAGATCCAGAGATAGATGCACCTTTCAAACTGGTCGAGAAGCTTGTGAGGAGCGTCTTCCACTTCAGAAAGAAATACTGCAAACGAGGAGTAGAGTAAGTCATTATTCTCATAGGAGTAGAGTACTAAAGGTAATACAAAGTTTTAGTATGGGGTCATGAATTTGGTTCCAATGAAACATATCAGAAGCATATGCGATTCTACAATATTCAGTGATTGTTGTCGTGGTTGAAATCGAGTCTAAAGTTATGAAATCGTAAATAATAAACTTTCATGTTGTATAGCACCCTCTTGAAGTCAAGATATTAATTATGTGGGGGCTCCTTTTTCTCATAGGATAGATCACAGTGGATCTGAATTCCTGCAAGTCATTTTCAGAAAACAATTTTTTGATTTGAATCGAACTATTATATTTAATTGATCAGTACAGCATTATGTATTATACAACTCACTCCTAGATCGTTATCAAATGATTGGTTAAACTTGATCACATGTGACTCATTTACTCAGACTATTCAACGTTTTTTTATGGAAAAGTATGCAATAGTTTCCAGGACTATGCAACAAATTTTTAAGTACACAATGGGCAGTAGTGCGCTTGCAGTGTGTAGTCTTTATATGCACAGCACTGCATTTTGAAGTGTCTCAGTAATTGCACTTATCTTTGTGTGAGCACTAAAGTATAAAGCCTGTTCTTCTTAGGAATTATCGATCTGTGATAATCACACGAAACAATCTTAAAACTATTCTTTTTACATCAAATTTCAAGGAACCTGAAGTTTTGTTGTATAAAACAAAAGAAGAATGTTTTAGGCTGTTTATGCATCTATCATACTCATGCTGTATACTGCATACAGCCTCCACTCGAGTGCGGATAGATTAATTGTGTAATAAACTCATTCGCATGCCTCATTTGTATAATAGATGATAATGATATGCTTTATACTTCATTGTTCTATTTCTACAGGACTCTGTTTCCAGTTGAGAGACAAGATTTGACCCAGGAAGTGTTTGATACCTCTGGAGTTGACCCAACTCAACGACCTGTCTGGTTGACCATGGAGGAGTTTAATGCACTTTGCATGTCATACAAAAACATTATCCAACGAATCCCAGCCATGTTTCACTACAACTACAGATGACAAGGGAGCTAATAACAACATGTGCTTCAGACATTGTCAGAGGTTTCACTGCCTGTGCGGTTAGAAGTGTCGTAATCGAGTTGTTTTAAGCACTTGACTTGAAATTCAAAGGTCTCGGTTCGATCCCCGATACCGTACTAATGTCCTTTGGCAAGGCATTCATCTTAATTTGCCACACTCGACCCAGGTGAGGTAAATGAGTACCTGGAAGGAATCAAATTCCTTGAAATGCTGGAGCACTGTAATGGCAGCTAGGCTAAAGCCGGGGTAATAATAAATGCGCCTCAGAATAGAATTCTAGATAGACGGCGCTATTGAAATGCCTATTATTATTATTATTGTTAGATTCCATGTACTGAGTGCACCATCTCCACTATCTTAAGAGTATATAATAATCATTGGGTTTTATTTATCCATGGCAGCCGCATTAATAGTAATACTACTCTTCTAGTGGGCCCTGCAGTTATTACTATCCCAGCATCGCCAGGTACTTATTTCACACCTAGATGGTGAGGGATAATTGTTGTCAAAGCATCTTGTCTAAGGATGTAAAGCACTGAGCGAATATCAAAGCCAGAGCCTATTAAAGGAGGAGAGTCAAGAGCCTTGACCAATATACCCCAGTGCAAGCACCGAGTGAAGATCAAACCCAGAGCTTATCGTAGGAGAGTCAAGAGCCTTGAACAATATACCCCAGTGCTCCTACAAGTATTGCTACGGTACTTCATATGCTTGGTACACATGCAGGCAATTAGCATGCAGGATGGTGATTTTCAAATCTTGCTCATACCATTCTGTAAAGAGTAATGATGAGTTGGTGACTATTCAGTTGACTCTGTAATAGTGAACAACTAATTGTTTGAATGCATTTTGCAAACCCAGTAAATAAAGATAAGGTGCTCGATCTTGCAAATTAAAATCAAATCAGAAAATGTCTTTGAACAGTAGGATTTGCACCTGCTTGCCGGGCAGCGACCCTACCATGAGGCCATCACTGGTCCATGGCACAGTCATGATGAACTTGAAACAAGTACCTCAGCTCTCCTAATTCTGATTTATTCATTATTCATGAGCCTGCCATTAAGACAAAAAGGCTCGCTTTGAAAGTTAGGCTTCCTGGGAGTGATTTCAATTTGTAAAGAATTTTGGCTTGCATCCAATAAATGACAATCTCGTGCTTAATCTTGTGCAATATCAGTCGCCCACAGTTTCATGTTTACTTGTCATATTTTGACAATGAAAGCATGTCTTGTCTTTCATATTAAACTACAATATGGACTGGACTATTGTGAAGCTAAATTATTTATGTATCAAAATGAACAATAAAAATAATGGTATTATGATTGAAGACTTGCCTTTAAAATGTTTTTTTCTTTTATAAAGGTTGTACGATCGGTAGCATGTTAAGGATGAATAGTGATGATACAGGGCGGTCCATAAAGATCAGACTAGCATACTATCAATAATGCAGGGCAAATTTCATCAACAACAGAAGAGGGAGAATATTTTGATGAGAAAAAAAGAAACAAAATTTGCTTAAATTGGTCAAGTATTTGTTTTCTTCTTGATGCATTAATGGGAAACCATGTGGAAGACATCCACTGTCAGTGCTCCTTGCAGAAAGTGTATCATTCTTCAATTTATAAAATGGTATGCCTTATCACTGGCTAAGCTGTAATAAACATTAAAATTAAGCAGAAACATGACATTTCACACACACATGTTTTCTTCCAGCCTTTTTTAATGACTTATAAAAGCAGATATGAAATCATAATTATTTTTTTAAAAAGTTGTGTTTTTACTGGACAAACAACATTTCTTTGAACTCCCACTTTGTGTCACAAAGTGCACCCTAAAACAAAAATCTCTCCACAAAATGTGTTAATCTTTGAATCATTTATCATGTGAGAAGATTCTTCTTTGGCTAGTACCAATGAATTTTATCCCACATCATTATCACTTGCATGAACAACTGCTTCTCCCTGACTTGTGATTACAGGCATAATACTACATAAGTATTATGTTACCAACAAGTTTAGATGGACTAAAACTTTACAATCTTCAAATAGGCAATTCAGTGGCACATTCAAACTCAATACTTTCACATTTCACCATTATCTTTTTTTTTTGTATTTTATTTCAAATGTGTTACTTTTTCTTGGAGTAGTGAACTCAACCATAGGAGCATAATTATCAATGTATGCACATATTATAGAGAAAAAATTGTTGTTTTTAAAATCAGATTTACATGATGAATGTTTTCCATGCTAAATGTTGTTAGAAAAGTGCAATAAAAAGTGGGGAAAATGTACTGGAATCTTTTACCAACTAGGTGTATGATTATTATATTTGTGCCCTACTTTTGACTTTTGATGACAATTTTTTTTTTTTTTTTAAATTTTGTATACAATTGCTAGAAGTTTTTTTTTTAATCTGCGTCATAATTAATGAAGCCTTAAAACTCTCAAAGTATTTGTTAAATCCAATCTGCACTATTTTGGCATGGAACGATTAGACCTCCCTGCAAGGTCTCTGGCAGGTGGTTATCTCATTAAATCAGCTCTCAATTAACATAAGGAAAAGGGGGATCAACGGGTACCGCTTAGGCTTTGTGGCTGTATAGAGGGCGCAAGTAGCTATAAGTAGTGCAGTGGGGCTTTAAATCACTTAGTAGAAGCACATGAAATGTGTCTAATATATAACAAGGTGTTAAGATTTAAGTTCAAAATGAGGCCCGCAGTACACAGCTTTTATTATAAATCAAACCTGGTGTTCCAAGAATTGTTATGTGACTCTCATTAAGATAACAAGTTATCAGTCTACTATGAACCTTTAACCTGAAACAATAGGACATTGCCTTAAGATGAACCGTTACAAAGTAGTATCAGCAATGGAAAAACCTGTTTCTGAAATCATTCTTGTGAATCAAAATTCCTGTACTTAATACAATATTCATTTTCATATTGATCAGAATTTAGAGGATGATATATGATATGATATAAGGAATTCAGTGCTGTAAGTTGGACTTTGATTTCTCGACACAAATAAGTATTCCAGAAATGTCCATTGTAAATTACCTTAATCATTGAACAGATCGACGCTATCACTGTCAAATAAACATCCCTCAAGGTGTCACAATGTTGGACAAACTGAACAAACAAAGCTCAAGAAAAAACATGCACAGGCCTGCACCCCGCCCCCCCCCCCCCTTGGGGTCGGAGGGACAGCATGCATGTTCCCAAAATGTCCAGTAAAGGGGTACTTTTCACGCACCAAAGTCTGGCTCATAGTACACAAATATCCGGCCAGTATGGACTTTACACACCGGACTTAGTAGGGTGTTTTCAAAAGGAGGGAACATGCATACGCGTACCCTAAATAACACTGAGTGGGGAGGGGGCCGGGGTCTGCGCTCTGTCATGTGTATCGTTCACCCTTCTGTGACTGTGAGAATGATAGTGGAGCATGCTCTCCGTTATTGCTCGCTCTACAAGCCTAATGGCAAGAAGATGATGAAGACCAGGGGTGTTTCACAAAACCTGTCATCAGTGACAAATGACAGCTTTTGTTATAAGCTATTGAAATCATTGCTTCTGATTGGTCATCAGCAGATTTGTCACTGATTTTTGTCATTTGTCATTGAAAAAAGGTTTTGTGAAATGCCCCCTGGGGTAGAGTGTAAACACACATAGTCCATTTCATCTGCAAGATATTTTCCCCTACCACGCGTGGATTTCAAAATCTCTCCTGAAATCTATCAACAGGAAGAACACCCTCTATTACAAATATAAAAATAATCCTACAGTTAAGTCCAAATTGAAATATTCTCGCTATCGTAACATTCTAACCACCTCGTTACGACTAGCAAAAAAGAATTACTTTACTAAACAATTTAACGTGAATAAAGGTGATATAAAAAAAACACTTGGAGGGTGATAATTAACGTTCTGAAATCCAAGCGAGTCTCAACCCACATTTCAAATATGATAAACGAAAACCGAATTCAAGATCCTCTTGTTATAGCAGAGGAATTTAATAATTATTTTGCTAACATTGGCCCAAATCTTGCTCAAAATATTCCTGTATCCGATTTGCATTTTCAATATTTCCTGGAAACGAAAAACACTAATTCAATGTTCTGCACCCCCATTCTGGAGCATGAAGTAATCGATATAATTAAAAATATGAAAACTAAAAAAAGTGCAGGGAACGACGGTATTGCAAATTTTATATTAAAAGAAATAATAGGTGAAATGGTTTCCCCTCTTACCCATTTGCTTAATCTGTCAATAATGAATGGCATCGTACCCAAAAAGATGAAAATAGCTAAAGTTATTCCAATTTTTAAAAAGGGGAACGCGCAAGACATTGGAAATTATCGCCCTATTTCTCTGCTCACGTCTTTTTCCAAAATACTTGAAAATTTGATGTACTCTCGAACAATGCAGTTTCTTATTGATTTTGATATTCTGTCTGATACCCAATTTGGGTTTAGGCAGAAACACTCTACAACCCATGCATTACTCATGTTTTTAGATAAAGTAGCTCATGCTATCGACGATATGGCCCATACTGTGGGTATTTTCCTGGACTTCTCCAAGGCCTTTGACACTATTAATCATGATATATTACTGTACAAGTTATCCCATTATGGGATTCGAGGAAAGGCCTTGGAGTGGTTCAGGAATTATCTCACAGACAGAAAACAGTATGTTAGTATTAATGGTCACGATTCTTATCAAAGATCAGTATCATGTGGTGTCCCACAAGGTTCATTATTGGGTCCATTATTATTTGTAATATATATCAATGACTTCAGAAATTCGTCTGAAATAATGTCTTTTATTCTCTTTGCAGACGACACTAATATTTTTTATTCACACCGTGACCCTCAATATCTCCTGAGGACCGTTAATGGTGAACTTAAGCGGATACAAGCATGGATAAATGCAAACAAACTATCATTAAATGTCAGTAAAACCCACTTTATGCTGTTTAGCAATTGTATAAAATCCCTACCCGGTAATATTTTAATAGACAATACAAATTTAAACCAGGCCGAATCCACAAAATTTCTTGGTATCTACATTGACAGTGATTTATCATGGAAGATACACGTTAACTATTTGTGCAAACTGATTTCTAGAAACACAGGTATTTTAAATAAACTAAAACAC